GAGTTGGAGGTTGCTGTGAGCTGTGATGCCATGGCACTCTACCCAGGGGGATAGCTTGAGGCTCCGTCTCAAAAAAAATAAATAAATAAACAAGTTTAGTGCCTGTAGAGCAGTGGTTATGGTGCTGGCCGAGGCGGCATGCACCGAGGGTGGTGAGTTTGAACTCGGCCAGGAGCCTGCTAACAACAACAACAAAATAGCTGGGTGTTGTGGTGGGTACCTATAGTCCCAGCTACTTGGGAGGCTGGAGCAAGAGAATTGCTTAAACCCAAGAGTTTGAGGTTGCTGTGACCTGTGACACCATGGCACTCTACTGAGGGTGATATAGTAAGACTCTGTCTAAAAATAAAATAAAATAAAAATAAACAAACAACCCCCCCCCACAAAATAAGTCACTGTGAAACTTCTGGTCTGCAGAAGATAATGCTGAGAGAATAAAAAGACAAGCTACAGACTGATAGAAAAATATATGATAAGTATATGATATCCAGAATATATAATGAAGCTTCAAAACTTAATAATGAGACAAACAATTGGAAGCTGTAGCTGTGTGCATCCTTGTCACAGTCCTTGCCTGTATTTGCACTCTAGCCACACCAGCAAAAACCAAATCCTACCTCAGAGCCTTTGCATTTCCTTTTCACTCTGTCTGCAGTGCTTTCTGCCAGCCACCTCCTGACTCATGGCTGGAGCTTTCTCATCCTTCTTGCCCTGCTGAGATGTCACCTCTTCAGAGAGGCCTGCCCTGACCACAGCATACCACCACCCAGTTCATTCATTCATTCATTCATTCATTCATATGTTTAATGATTGTGTGTCCACACATTTTTGGCCCCAGGAACAAAGTAGTAAACAAAGCAGAAAAAAATCCCTGCCCTACAGGGCTTAGTTTTAGAAGGGAAGTTAAGTGGTAAAGATAGATAAAATATTGAGTATGTCAGGTGAGTAGGATGACTTTTTTTTTTTTGGAGACAAATTCTCACTTTGTAGCGCTCAGTAAAGTACGGTAGCCTTATAGCTCACAGCAACCGCAAACTCCTGTGCTTAAGCAATTCTCTTGCTTCAGCCTCCCAAGTAGCTGGGACTACAGGCACCTGCCACAAAGCCTGGCTATTTTTAGAGATGGGATCTCCTTCTGGCTCAGACTGGTCTCAAACCTGTGAGCCCAGGCAATTCACCAGCCTCGGCCTCCCAGAGTGCTAGGATTACAGTCATAAGCTACCTTGAGCAGCCCTGTATTTTGTTTTTAAAGGAAGGGAAATAGGAAACATCAAGGTAGAGTCTGAAATTTTAGATGGTCTGATCAGGGGAGGCTTCTCCGAGGAAGTGACATTATTATTATTATTTTTGAAGACAAAGTTTCACTTTGTTGCCCTCAGTAGAGTGCTATGCTATCATAGCTCACAGCAACCTCAAACTCTTGGGCCCAAGCGATTCTCTTGCCTCAGTTTCTTTCTTTCTTTCTTTTTTGAGACAGAGTCTCACTTTGTCACCCTTGGTAGAGTGCTTTGGCATCCCAGCTCACAGCAACCTCAAACTCCTGGCCTTAAGCAATTCTCTTGCCTCAGCCTCCCAAGTAGCTGGGACCAGATGTCGGCCACAACGTCTGGCTATTTTTAGAGATAAGGTCTTGCTCTGACTCAGACTGGTCTTTTTCTTTTTTTTGCATTTTTGGCTGGGGCTGGGTTTGAACCCGCCACCTCCAGCATATGGGACTGGTGCCCTATTCCTTTGAGCCATAGGTGCCGCCCCTCAGACTGGTCTTGAACTTGTGAGCTCAGGCAATCCATCAGCCTCAACCTCCCAAGTGCTGGGCTGCAATCATGAACCTCCACGCTCTGCCCAGTTTTTTTCATTTTTAGTAGAGATGAGGTCACACTCTTGTTCAGGCTGGTCTCAAATTCCTGAGCTCAAGTGATCCACTCACCTTGGCCTCCCAGAGTTCTAGGATTATAAGCATGACCCACTGTGCCTGGCCAGGAGGTAACATTTTAGCTGAGGCCTTAAGGAAGTGAAGGAGGAGCCATTGGACATCTGGGCAGGAGAAATAGCCTATGCAAAAGCCCTGAAGCAAGACTGTGTACAGAATGTTTAGGGAACAGCAAGGAGGCTGAAGCAGAGTGAGTAGGTCACAGGGCAGGACTTAGGTACTGGAGTGGAGACTTCATGGGTTTTTTCCTGAGCGGGAAGCCATAGAATGTTCTGAGCAGGCTCCCTCTGGTGGCCATGGGAGGAATAGACTGGGGTACAAAGGAGCAGGTGAGAAATGGATGGATTATGGATGGGTTTTGACAGTCGAGCTGATGAGGTATAAAGGAGATTGGATGAGCTCACGACTTTTAGCCTTGTGGGGGAGGTCCCCAGAGCCAAGAATTGGGACTGATGTACATAGGATCTCAGCAGCTATTTGATCTCTGCAGTTCCCTCCCCAATCTCTGCCAGGAACTTCTTGGCCTCCCTGACATAATTTCAGCCCCACTGACCCCTCTTCCTGCCCATTCCCTGCAGCTTCGAGGCGGAGAATGGGCCGATGCCATCTCCAGGCCGCAGCCCCCTGGACTCGCAGGCGAGCCCAGGTCTCGTGCTGCACGCTGGGGCAGCCACTAGCCAGCGCCGGGAATCCTTCCTGTACCGTTCAGACAGTGACTATGACATGTCACCCAAGACTATGTCCCGGAACTCATCAGTCACCAGCGAGGCGTGAGCAACCCCCCTCCCCACCTGCCAGCTCCCCCCTGGCCACCTGTTGAGGTGTAAGCACCCTCTGGACCTGCTCACCTTCCCTCTCTCTTACTGGGTCTTCCAGGTTCTCGCCCCACCCATCAGGGTGCCTACTTCAGCCCCTTAAGCCCTTTTCCTGTCCTCTGTGTCCCCCCACAAGCCCAGCCCCTATAGCATATTCTCATTCTCTCCCCAGACAATTCAGGGCTGGTCACCTCTGCTCCCCCCAGTCACCTGAGTCACCCTCCATGACTGCCATTCCCTCCTCAGCCAGCTCTGAAAGCATGTACACCCTCATGCAGGATAAGTGCCCTCTCCCCCAACCCCACAGGGTCCCTTCCCTGCCCATCAGCCTCCCTGGGTCCAGCCTTCACAGAATTACTTCTCTGGGGACCCCTGACCTGCCACTGTCCTTGATTGCAGGCATGCTGAAGATCTCATCGTAACGCCGTTTGCCCAGGTTAGACCCCTTCCCCAAATGGCTGAGGAGAGAAGGGGCTCCCACTCTCCTCTCCACTTGGGGATAGAGCCCAGCTCTGCTACTATTCTCAGTAGACACTGCTTCTTACTGATGTTCTCCATCCCAGGTGCTGGCCAGTCTCCGGAGCGTCCGTAGCAACTTCTCTCTCCTGACCAATGTGCCCATTCCCAACAACAGGTAAGTCAAGGCTGTGCCCCAACACCCATGATCATGAGCCCAAGCACATTTGGGTTCAACTATAAGCACCGCTGTATAGACTTGGGCAGGCACTTGACCTCTCTGAACATCTGTTCAGGCAATGAATCCCTTGGAGCCAGAGATCCACTGTGATTTAAGAGCCTAAGACACAGAAGCTTTTATAAGAAAAGACCCAGATACACGTTGGTGAGGCCATAGACCCAATCCCAGGGCCATTTACTGTTACCAATTTGCTAGGCATATGGCATCTTGTGAGATTTCTGTTCCCCCTCTGTAAAAGCAGAATTACAGTAATGCCTCCCTTAGACAATTGCTAGGAAAAGTACAGAAGATGGTATATATAAAAGAACACTGGGGTGGTGCCGTAGCTCAGTGGGTAGGACACTGGCCACCTACACTGAGGCTGGTGGGCCGGGCCAGCTAAAACAACAATGACAACTGCAGCAACAACAACCAACAACGAAAATAGCTGGGCATTATGGCAGGTGCCTATAGTCCCAGCTACTTGGGAGGCTGAGGCAAGAGACTTACTTAAGCCCAAGAGTTTGAGGTTGCTGTGAGCTATGATGCCATGACATTCTACCAAGGGCAGCAGAGTGAGACTGTGTCTCAATAATGATAATAATAAAATAAAAGAACATTGGCCTGGGCACAGTGGCTCATGTCTATAATCCTAGCACTCTGGGAGGCCTAGGCGGGTGGATTGCTTGAGCTCATGAGTTCAAGACCAGCTTGAGCAAAAGTGAGGCTCTGTCTCTATTAAAAGTAGAAAAACTGAGGCAAGAGGATCGCTTGAGCTCAAGAGTTGGCGGTTGCTATTAGGCCACGGCACTCTACCCAGGGAGACAGCTTGACACTGTCTCAAAAAAAAAAAAAGAAAGAAGAAGGCCAGGTATGGTGGCTCACGCCTATAATCCTAGTACTCTGGGAGGCCAAGGTGGGTGGATTGCCTAAGCTCACAGGTTTGAGAACAGCCTGAGCCAGAGCGAAACCTTGTCTCTAAAAATAGCCTAGTGTTGTAGCGGGTACCTGTAGTTAGTCCCAGCTACTCAGGAGGCAGAGGCAAGAGGATTGTTTGTGCTCAGGAATTTGTGGTTGCTGTGAGCTATGACACCATAGCACTCTACCAAGGGTGGCAAAGTAAGACTCTGTCTCAAAAAAAAAAAATGCTCAATAAATAGGAGTAGTTCTTATTGTAGAGAAAGGAATATGGCTGAGGGCTGCCAGTCCCTCTGTGGATGGGGGGAGAGCCATCCATAGCAAGTTGGAGGAATTCAGGGGGCACATTCAAGGGAGCAGAGACTTTGAAAACTTAAGACCTGAGTTTCTCATCTGTAAAGTGAGTTCTGCTGGGGGTCACTGAGACAGGATATGGCAGCATGCCTGGGACAATAGTGACCAATAAGAAAAAGGAAAATTAGCACTGTTATTGAAGGTAGGAGGCAAGGATCTGTAGGTGCCTATGCTGACATTGGAGCCCCATTTCTTTGCAGGCGATCCCCACTGGGTGGCCCAACACCTATCTGCAAGGCCACATTATCAGGTAACTTAATCTCTGAGGTCTGGGAAAAGGCCCTCTTGCTGCCCCAGTGGGGGACCCCTCCCTTGGAGTGGCTGTCTTCAGCCCTTCCCCCTAGCACTCCACTCTCCTGGCAGACCCTGTCACCACAGGCTGGGGGCTCTAGGGGTCTACCTGCAGACCTTCTCAATCACCTCCCTGGTCGTCCCCTCCCCAGAGGAGACATGTCAACAGTTGGCCCGGGAGACGTTGGAGGAGTTGGACTGGTGTCTTGAGCAGCTGGAGACCATGCAGACCTACCGCTCTGTCAGCGAGATGGCTTCACATAAGGTGTGCAGAGGGACACGGTGAACCTATCCTCTGGGCAGGGTTGGTAGGGACCAAGCTAGTGGGCAGGGCATGTAGATGGAGACAAAAGCTAGATTGGGTCTGGGACCTGTGATAGCTATTAGGCTTGGTTGACAAGAGCGTGACCACACTGGGTAAGGCCTAAATAGGATGGGGCCAATCCCTGGATTGAACTGGTGGGGGTGGAGCCTATGAGGGAGACTACCTTAAGATTGTGTCTGTGGGTGGGGCTTATTACTGGGTGTGGCCAAAAAGGTGGAGCCAATCCCTGGGTATGACCTATGGGATGAAGCCAATCCGTGAGTGTGACCTCCTAAGGCTTCCTTAGTGGGCAGCTTCATGATTTGTGCTCCAAGGGTTCTGAATTTCTCCACGGTTGGAGGAACCTGGTTTGAGTGTGGGCATGTGTGTCTGGTTGTATGTGTGTCAGTAGGTGACCATCTGTCTTGGGGAGGATGTGTGTTTTTGTGGTTTGTGAGTGTGCAATTGTGGCTGTAGGTCTTGAGGTTGTGTGCCTTTATGGTCTACAGGTATGCATCCATCTAGATGGGTCTGTGTAGCTACTGATTTGTTGGCTACCCATTTGCAGCATTTGCAAGCCAATTCTGAGCAGTTGCACACAGATTTGTACCTGTGAGAGGGTATATGGATGTTTAAATTGGGAGTGCTGTGCCAGAGGGCTGTGTGTGTCTGCAGGTGTGGGTTGGTCCAGGTAGAAATCAAAGTGTATATCTCAATATATTTATGACTGTGTGTTTGTAGGGCTGCAGGGAAGGATACAAAGCTTCCACATACAGTTGTGCAGACTATGCACTGCACAACTCCAGGGGGCACCATTCAGAAAGCAGCCAGTATGAATAATGTCTCCTGGAGTTGTGCAGTGTGGTAGCAGCCCTTGTGAGTGGGTGCCTACAGGAAATGATTCGCAAGTGGGGGTGTCTTTGTTGGGGGGTGCATATGTCCGTGGGTGAAAGCTTGTTTGGGAACATGTGCATCAAAAAGTAATTGTGTGTGGCTCGGCGCCTGTGGCTCAAGTGGCTAAGGCACCAGCCATGTACACCTAAGGTGGCGGGTTCGAATCCAGCCCGGACCTGCCAAACAACAATGATGGCTGCAACCGAAAAAAAATAGCCAGGCGTTGTGGCGGGTGCCTGTGGTCCCATCAACTTGGGAGGCAGAGACAGGAGACTCGCTTGAGCCCAGGAATAGTTGGAGGTTGCTGTGAGCTATGCCACGGCACTCTACCCAGGGGGACAGCTTGAGGCTCTGTCTCAAAAAAAAAAA